CCAATGGGTCCGTCAACTTCCGTTTCCTACCGGATCTTCTTGGTTCAGGTGTATTCTGTGGAGGTTCTACCTGAAACATATCATACATTATATCAATGGGATCTTTCGTCCTCATCCGGTATACACTCTTCTTGCTCTATACCGTAATCTTTTTTTTTGTTGGTTTTGGTGCCTTTTATGAGTATTCTTCGGCCCTTTAATTATGTAAATCAGGTCACCGATTCTCTTGTCCACTATGCCTCGTTCCCAGAACTCAACGTTGTTTTTATAGCACTTGAAAAACACCTTCTCTCCGGGAGTGTATCTTTTCTCGCTGTATACATGGTATTTTTTACTCTATTTTTTCCTGGCAAAAAGCTTGTCAAACACTGACTTAACTTTCCTAGCGAACATTAGTTCAGCTGGTGCCATGTTTGAGTGTGTTCTCTGGTTTGGCGTGATTCTGTATACTTGTAAGAATTGCTGAAGCGCCTTTTTCCGTTGGAACTCCTGAGGCTTTCTTCAGAGCTCGCTTTAAAGTATCGACAAATCTTTCTGCGAGTCCATTAGACCTCGGATGATACGGAGGCGTCGTTATGTGGTTAATTTGATATAACTCACAAAATTCCTTAAATTCTTCAGAAGTGAATTGTGTACCATTGTCACTCACAATACACTCTGGCACACCGAACCGTGCAAATAGTTCATGCAAAAAAAAGTTGTTGTGGTATTGGACGTAGGCTTTTTGCAGCGTAGTACTTCCGGCCATTTTGTAAAACTATCTACCACTATTAAGTAGTAAAAATCTTCTACTGGACCAGCGAAATCAATGTGTAATCTTGTCCACGGATGATCCGTCTTGAGCCATGGTTTGTGTACTATAGGTGGTGCCTTAGCTGCTAACGCACACCCCTTTACATCGATGAACCATGTTTTCGATATCCACATCCATTCCTTTCCAATACACAAAGCTTCGCATTGCTTTTGTTCTATTAATACCTGGTGACCCATATGAAAGTCCCGAAGTATTCTTTTTCTGCAGCTTCTTTGGTATTACTACTCTCTCACCATATAATAAAAACTCCATCACCTATTGAAAAAAATCTCCTGCACTTTTTTGGTCATTTGCTACCATTTTGTTTTTAATTTCTAAATGAAATCATCGCTTTCAGCTTTTTTTTTAATTTCATTTAGCGTAACCGGTAGCTCTCTTACAATGTTGTTTACCATGATTTTCACCTCATAATCTGCTCTGATATTTGCAATAATTGATTCTTCGAATCTTTCTTCTTGACTCTGTACTAGTCTTGATAGACTATCCGCATGAATTATCTTTTTGGATGATAGGTGCTTTATGTGAAAATCATAATTGAGAAGAATGGTTCCCCATCTTAACAGACGATTTGCTGTATAAACGGGTAACCCTTTCTTTGAACCAAAATAGTGATCAGTGGTTTATGATCCGTTTCAAGGATAAAATGTCTGCCGTGGATGTACCTGTGAAATTTTTGTATGGCAAAAATGATACTCAGTGCCTCTTTTTCTATCTGAGAGTAACTTCTTTCTCCTGGGAGCAAAGTTCTCGAAGCGTGTGCAATAGGTTTTCTAGAACCATCTGGCATTATGTGTTGAATACACGCTCCTATCCCGTATGAACTAGCGTCACTTGCCACTACAATATCCAGTTTTGGATTGTAATGAGTTAAAAAGAGGTCGGACGTAAGCATTTTCTTTATTTCATCAAAAGCTTTGACATTCTACCGTCCATTCCCATGCCTTGTCTTTTTTTAGCAGTTCATTCAACGGAGCTCTTAAATTGTACATTCCTTTAATGAACGCTTGATAATAATTTGCAAACCCTAGAAAAATCTTTGTAGCATCGCCACATTAGTGGGCGTCGGCATGTCTCTAATCGCAATGGACCTTTCCGGATCTGGACATCTGCCATTTTTGTTGATTATGTGCCCTAAATACTTAATTTCCTCAAACCAAATTCGCACTTTGACTCTTTTGACTTTAAATCCAAAGTCCTGAATCTTTTAAATACTTGATTGAGATGCTCTCGATGTTCGTCGACCGATTCGCTCCTTACTATGATGTCGTCTAAGTAAGCGCACGCAAAGTCTAAATCATTCAGCATGACGTCCATAGCTTGTTGAAAAATGGCAGGTGCCACTTTAATACCAAAAGGAAGCCTGTTGTACTTGAATAACCCTCTATGCGTGTTTATCCCTAGTAACTTCGAACATTCTTCTTCGACGGGAATTTGGAGATAGGCATCTGATAAGTCAATTTTTGAAAATATAACCACCATTTAGCTTGTTAAAAATCTCCTCCGGACTCGGTAACGGGTAATGGTAGTCCTTAATTACCGAGTTCAACCCTGAGTTCAACCCTGTCGGTTTGAAAATCAACGCAGAATTAGATTCTACTTTCGAAATAATTCCCATTTTTTCCAACCTATCAAGTTCTTCGTTAATTTTCTCTACACACTTGCGAAAGGCACATTACGTTTCTTTTTAAAATTGGCATAGTATTTTCCTTTAATTCGAATTTGGCTTCAAACTTGTTACATCTTCCAAGACCAGGTGTGAAAGTTTCCGGAAACTTTTTTCTTTAATTCCTCATTAATGTCCTGTCTTGTTTGCGTATTACTTTCTACTTTTCTGCAGAAAGAGTTTAACGGTTTATCCCACAATTCGAATGTTTCAATAAAATCTGTACCCATCAAGTTTTCTCCATTTTTTAGAATGAAAACTTTTATTTTTTAACTATCCTGTTCAATTTCATGGGAAGTACAACCTCGCCTTCGAATTTAATTTCCTTTCCAGTCACTGTTCGAGCGCGTTTCGTTGACTTCATTATTTTAGGCCTTTTTAAAATTTTCCATGTTTTATAGTTCATTATTGTTAAATCTGAACCCGAATCGAGTTGAAATTTGATATTCTTTTAAATATTTCAGTCGTCACATACTTCCTCAAATCTCTATCTGATTTGATATTTGAATTTGTTTGTCTAATTCGGCTATTGACTTTTTTTCGTTTTACAACACGACCCTTTGTGACCATTCTTGTGGCCCCACGAAACATTTTTTTATTTCTATATGGGCAATTTAACTCCCAGTGTCTTCCGTTGCACTGTCTACAATTAAATGGCGGAACCATTTTTTTTCCTCCTCATTTTTTTCATTTAATTTTTCTTGTCTATTTTTAAAATACGCCGATTTTAATCCAATTTTTTTTCTGATGGGTAATTTGACTGTTTCTTCACTTTTTTAATATAAGCAATACCAGCTTCTAAAATTTTTTGAGACGCTTTCTTTAAACTTACGGCCCGCTGACACTCCTCTGCTAACTTTTGCAGGGTAAGGTTTTGTTCAGATTCGAGTTTAGACAAAACTACGTCTTATTTCGGCACTCTTACTGGATACCAGTCCTTGAGCAAAAATTAAACACTTGAATTCTTCAACCGTAATCTCTGCCAATCTGAAATTGTCACAATGTCTATTCACTATAGATGCATAAGTTAAGTCATCCTGATCGTCGGATTTAGCTACATTCATGCATAACCATCGCTTATGCCAAAGCGACATATTTGCTCCAAATAACTCCTTTAGCAATTTCACTGTTTCCGAGAATTCCAATTCATTTGTTCTTCTCGGTAGAATAAAATCTACAAATTTGCTATGTTCCGCTGTACCTTTAGCTTTCTTAGTAATAGACTGACTTTTCTTGAATTCGACCAGTTTTCACAGTCTGTGTGGAAAATATCTTCATATCGTTTAAAGTACGCTTCAAACGTTTTTCCTTCGTCTGGCACATAGTTGAAAGTTTCCAACGAATTAAATATGATGTTATTAGAATATGAAGAGTTACTTTCATTTGCCTGAATGTTGTTTAATTTCTCCAATGTTAACTTTTGAATTTCCAAAACCTTTGACATACATTTCTTCCTGTTCCTTTTGACGTTGCTGACTCAACTCCTCTTGCCTTTCTTTATAATTCTGCTGTGCTAATTGCTATTCTCTTAATAAGGCAAACTGTTCACTTTGTTGTTGCAGACTCAACTGCTGGGATTTGACTAACTCAGCTTGACTCAGCTGCTGGGCTTTAAACAATTCAGCTATGACTTTGGATAATTCCTCCATCTTTAGCTGATAGTGTTCATGCAACAAAAAGAATATACTTTTTAAATTGTGTATCCACGAATATACTATAAGCAGACAAAACAAAATTGAAACAACATACACCTTTTTTTAATTTTATGTCTTGCTTTATAAAATATTGTTGAGCAACCAAACAAAAAAAAAAAAAACAAATTTTTTTTTTTTTTACAAGTTTGTTTACCTTTCAAAGTCGACACGTTGTATTTGTGCTCCTTTTAATTCCATGCATTTTTTTTTTTTCGTCGTTTTTTTTTTTTTTTTTTTTTTTTTTTTTCTCTCGCCGTTATTTGTTTACGCCACCTTCCAGATTTTTTTCTGAGTGAACGTTCCTTTATGCTTAGTCGTCCTTTAACTAGTTTTAACTGTCCAGACTTCAGAATACTTTTCCGTTCCATTAGATGTTCGACTTTTAATTGATGATTTTTTTTTCCTGGGTTCGTCGACTTATACCAATTGTTGAAGGCTATCAATTATTAATTCTTTTTTTTCCGTAACGTAAAGTTTTTTATACTTCGTCGCCATTGTTGAAACTTGGATAAGCATGGAATAATAATAATACAACACAAAATGTACGTTAACAAAATGTATTGAAACAAGGAAAAGGTACACAATATTTACAGTTAATTTTGGTATATTCTTGGGAAGACTGTTCCTGCATAATGGGTTGACTAAATCGCAGTCGGGCAGAGTCTCTCGATTCGATCTCTTCTTACAATCTCTTTTTCGTCTTCCGGTACCAACCCATATTTATATGGTCGGTACTCCACTTATGTAAATTAGGTGTATCGTACACAACAATATTGTTTATCTATCTATCTATCTATCTATCTATCTAGGCATTTATAAAATAGTTTACTTGAATTGAGTGAGATAGATAGATAGATAGATAGATAGATAGATAGATAGGCAGGTAGTTAGCTATGTATGCATATGAACAGACTGGAGATAGATAGATAGATAGATAGATAGATAGATAGATTGAAAGAAAGATGGATATATAGACAGAGACAGAGAGAGGTACATAGGTAGGTAGGTCCGTGCGTAGGTATGCATATGAATAGACTGAGATAGATAGATAGATAGATAGATAGATAGAGGTAGGTAGGTCCGTACGTATGTGCGTAGGTATGCATATTAACAGACTGGGATAGATAGATAGATAGATAGATAGATAGATAGATGTGCATATGAAGAGACAGAGATAGATATATAGATAGATAGATAGATAGATAGATGTGCATATGAAGAGACAGGGATAGATAGATAGATAGATAGATAGATAGATGCAGTCAAACACTAACCATTTGTCCAATGTATTTACTAGTGGATAAGTGAAGCCGCTGACTGTGTGACTTGTTCGCCTAACGTATACCAAACCAAGTCTTCTTTGAAACAAATCGCAAAGAAAAGGAGACAAAATATGCTGACGTACAAACATGAGATTCCTCCAATTAGCAGATATTATTTAACCCCTGGGCAAAAAACTTTCCAGAGCAATTTTCACTAGCGACAGTTACACTTACAGCAAATTTGTAACACCCAACTTGAACCTAACTAGGGATATACTGAAGTAGCCTAGTCCGAAATAAATCGTCGGACATTCAATTTTTACTTACGAGGAAACGAAGACGCATTGAAATAGCAAGATTTTAGGACGTCTATTTGTGAGGGCCTGATGAATTAATATGGATTATACGTATATCTGTACGTGTATATAATTTATATTTATATTGACTCCAGCTCGGCTTACGTTTCTTTTAAAAATTCACTAGTTCTATGCAAACTTTTTTCAGATGATCTGATTTTTGAGTTTATTTTCTATGTAAGGGAATCTTTCACCTGCAACAAATGGTTCCGGTGTCTGAGTGAGCATGCGTCAACGTTCATCCCTTTATTTTTTTTAAATAAAGCAAAAAACAAAAATTGACGCCATTTTTATTCTATTTTTTTTTTTTTTTCATTTTCTTTTTTCTAATTTAATATTCTTTCATCTTACCAGACATCGTAACTAGCTAAGCAGAGGACGATCTAATTTGCTGACTTTGACACCTCAATCGATCTTTGGCATTCATTCGTGCCAGAAAGATGTGATTTAATACATTACCACAGACTAAATAACCAGAAAAATATCGCTGCTTTTGAAAAAGAACTTATTTCGTTTATATTCTTATATTGAATCTATTTACTTTTTTCATCTCTGTTTATATTTTCTTTGTTAACGATTGTTTTGTTTTTTCTTAAGCATTTCACCCCAAACTAGGCAGGAGTGCCACTAGCACGCAAGGGGTTACAGAGAGTGGAAGCAAGAGTAAAGAGGCGTGATAGAGGAAAGGATGAAGAGAAGGATGGGGAATAAGTCAAGGCATCTGGAGACGTCGATTGACACTGCATTTGTATATTTGGAGATTATAGCTATCATGGAAGCAAGTAAAACGAAGGGAGTTCCACACACGGGAAGTGCGAGACATATGTTATTAGAGAAGAAGAGACGGCTGCATTCAACAGTTTTGACAGTGAAAAGGTGGGACTGAGATGGCAACTTAGCACGTTTAAATTCATGCACTTTGGGAACTAGCGAAAATAGCTCGTCGGAGCAGTTACCGTGAAAGTATTTGTAGAAAAGACAGATGGAAACGACGTCACGTCTGACTTCATTATTATTTGTCTATCCTTTTGCTCTCTCTCGTCCATTCGTTTTTATTCCAAAAATCTCACCATTAATGCGAATCATATATTCCTATGGAATGCTAAAAAGAAACGCATGGCACTATGGTTAGAATGGAAGCGTAGGTACAATAGTTAACTTTTGATCAAAGTTTGGTCTAAGTTGAGAAATGTAATTTCCTATAACAAAAAACCTTAATACATTTTGTTATATGGCTTTTAAGACGAGTATATGAAGAAGATTATTCTCATGCGAACGTAAGATGCCCTTGCAGTTGAAACCTTTACACCCGCTGACAGGCAGTTCATCTGATAGCTGTTACAAGAAATCATCCTGACTCGAGTTTCAGCGAATTGTTTTAAAAATCTGTTGATAACAGGGAAGCTTCTTTTGTCTTATAAAATATAAAATCTATTTTTGTCTTCTTTTTTAATCATTTCCCCTGACGCAGGGTGATAATGCTACTAGGATGCAAAGGGTTACTGGGAATAAAAGCGAATGATAAGACTGTAGTCAGTCGTCCCTATGACCAATCTTCTTTTTCAATTTCACTCCCTGTAATCCCCTGCGCACAAGTGGAATTTCTGCCTTGTTTGGGGTGAAATCCTTAAAAAAAAATCATGCTCCAATACGTCAGCAGATGCTGGACAATTTCCTCACAGAGGAAGGTGTGGTCATAGAGATTTTGCAGGACGATTTTAAACATATTTTTTTTTTAAATATAAAATCTCTTTTTGTCTTCGTTTTTAATCATTTCCCCTGACTCACGGTGATAATGCCACTAGGATGCAAAGGGTCACTGGGAATAAAAGCGAATGAGAAGATTGTAGTGAAGAGAAAAGCTAATAAAAGAACAGACTCCAGTCAGGTAGAAGATGGCGATTGGTGTTGCATTTACATTTTTGAAGATTATAGATGACAAGGAAGCATGAAATATTGAGAAAGTTCAACAGGCGATAAAATAAATTATTAGAATCGAACATGCTGCTAACTCTAGTTACGCTATAGTTCAAATGTCTTGGTCCACTCCTGGTAATTTTTAATTTAGCCCCAAATAGTTGTTTTTTATATAGAATAAAATAAAATTATTATACATGGTTAAAAAACTGTGAGACATGATTTTTATTAGAAATTTTATTATAAGAACAAAAAAAGATTAAATTTTGCTCACCTCAAAATATCCTCCTTTATGCTTGATTAGTGCAGCACAAATTTTTGGCGTTCGTTGCAAAAGTTTCTCAAAGTAAAATTTTCTTCTTTCAATGATTTTAAGAGTTGTTTTTTCATTTCTGCTAATTCTGGTTGAGGATTTTGAACTGTAGTGCAATTCAACAGTAAAACGTCGAGACCTAGTTACCAATAAGTTTATATTTTGTTAATGCTACGTCTATTTCAGACATAGAAGATCACGGCTCTCCATCGTTTCCTTTTTTTTATCTATGAATTGCTATGTCAATAAGATAATGAAAAAAGTTCCCTGCAGCTTCTTCAGCGGTTTGAACCTACGATCAAATCCCCCTGAAAGCACTGATTCTTATTCGATCATCTAAGTTAAGCAATGTCGTCCCTGGTCAGTATTTAAATGGGGGACCGCTTGGAAACAAAGGATACACTGAACAACCTCCTAGAATCCAATGTATGTTTTAGTTTTAGATAATCCACAAAGAGTGGATAAAACCTAAAATTGAAAAAGTAGATCAACCGCGGTTCGAAATGCTGATTTTTTTTTTTCTTTTATTCGACTCTTTTTTTCATTCAAGAAATAGAAAGCCCATTATATCCTACTATTTATCCTATAGCTAGGGGGTACAAGAGTCGAATCGATGACTTTTCTCGAGACATTTTCTTTTATTCGACTCTTTTTTTCATTCAAGAAATAGAAAGTCCATTATATCCTAATACTTATCCTATAGCTGGGGGTACAAGAGTCGAATCGATGACTTTTCTAAAGACATTTGAGGGAAATTGAATGCAACCGTCTCTTTCGCTATTTGAACTCTCGTCGCCGTTTCTATGTCTGAAGACATTACAGTACACGCACATTCTAATTTTCATTTTAAATATGCAAAGCATATTCTATGTCAAATAAAGTTCAGATATTTTAAAAATGGGTCAGGCCATGCACTTTTTAGTATCAGCTTGCATACGTTCAGTTATATTTGTATGATAGCAATTCATTTTATACCATCTCATATGTGTTCGAATACGTGTGTATAATTAAAAACATACGAATCCCAATTAATTAAGTGTTTCAGTAACCACAATGCATCAGGTTTGAACGTTAATCCGATAGTCAATAACTGTTATCAAGTATCCAGTGCCGAAAAGAGGAGTTAATGCTTCTCCTTCTGTCGAACTGTCAATCATGGAAGCGTGCTCCGGAAGTGAACAACCGCCATGTTGTATAGATTGATTACGGTTCTTAAAGAGAACGTAGAAAGCGCTTTGATTCCTTTACCATCCCAGTTTAAAATTTCATCGCTTCTTCCCGTTGGCGAACCATCGTTGTTGTTGTTGTCCTATCGTCCATTTATAGCTTGCCGGATAGATAAATAGTCGAGCATGTCATTAAAGACTTATTCCTGGCTACCAATCCAATGACTACATTCGTGATTCGTCTTGTAATGAAGATAATGCATCTCTACTCCGCTTCTTTTTGATTTTGTGTTTCTTTAATTCTTTATTCAATTTTCTTCCAGTTTTTCACTTCCTTTCCTTAGTTTAGCTTCTGAAAACGAGAGGAGTACTAGAAAGAAGATCGTGTTACGGCAATCTTCAAAATAGGGTGAATCCACCTGTGAAAAATCTTGTCACTTTTATCAGCACATGGCTGGAGATATATATGCAGGATGTCACCGCAAAAAAATTATACCCACTTCAAATGATTATAAAGTCAGTGTTTATTAGAATACCTTTCTTTTCAAAACTTAATAGAATCTACAAACATTATTTTATTGTTTTGTCAACGCCTGTTTTCAAAGTGACACCCGTTCTGGCCGTAGTAAGGCTGACAACGCGAACAATGGAATCACAAACATCACCGAACATATCGTTTGGCATTTTTGTTCATTCTCGTTCAATGGCTGCTCTCAATTCAGCGGCTATTGCAGGTTTCAGATCGTAGAGTTTGTCTTTTGCGTATCACCATGAAGAAAGTCTAAAGGTGTGATGTCTGGTGTGGGTGTTCTACGAAACGCCTTCGTCCATGATCTAATCAAGATAGGATCTATTTCCATTTTTCGGTTTGAAACATCGTTATTAATAGCATGGACTCATCTTGGAATTTAACTTTTCCATTGACAGCACTTCAAAATACGTTGGACAGACAATTTTGAAATACCTACACCACGACTTGCTTGACGCAGACGTTTTTCTTGGACTTACGTTTCCAATACTCTTTCTTGCATTGTGGGGCTTGTCGAAGTCCGTGGTTTCTGGAACGCTTCTCGTGGACATTCTGAACAGTACCATCGGCTTCAAACGTATCGAGAGATGTTAAGTCGCGTTGGTGGATCTGTATGAAACTTCTTTGTAGCATTTTAGAATTTCCTTTGTTCAAAGCTTAGTTTGACTGACATCATTAATTCTAATGGGTGTAAACTAGAAAGAAAAAAGATCAATTAAGCTATCAGCTGTTAACGTGCACCCTCTCTCTCTCTCTCTCTCTCTCTCTCTCTCTAACCAGGTGTGTCCTGCTATTTACCGATAGCTGAAGGGAGAAGAAGAGGATTATACCTTTCCCAAGGGCATTAGCGCGTAAGTCAATGTAATGG